GAGTGTATAAAAAGTTTTGAATGTTTAAAAACTTGCGAGTTCATCCTGAATGAGAATGTGCTAATCCTCTTTCACGTACGACTCCCCCTGGATACGTGTGTATTATTGAGACTTTCCTGCCAGAGTCAGGGCTACTCGTATGTGGGGAGTCAACGGATCGTTCCAGAACCGAACAAGTCACAGACCATGTTATCCTTAAAAGATTGGTTGGTGCCTATATGTCTGAGCTTTGATTTCATTTTCAAAGCAATCCACAGGCACCCAGCAAAAGGCAATCCACAGGATGACTAGCCAGTCAACATCACAGTTGCGTGTTAATTAACTTTACACCTTAAAACAATAAGAGGCTCTACAATCAAAAACCCACCAAACCGGTTTTTGAGAAGTACCTTTTGGTTCGCGTGCCCTTTGGCGTCTGCAAGGAATACACAATCTCAGGCAGACACAGAAGCAATCAGAAACGCTTGCAAAGTTTAATGGACATACAGTAAAACTGTGTTTATTTGAGTAATGTATGTTTGCATTATGTTTCTGTAGGTTTTTGTGTGTACATGTTCCATGTGTTTAACAAAACTGTTATAGATAGTTCTTGAGTAATAGCCCTCAGTGACAAATGAAATCTACAGAATGTTTGTGAAATACTTCATGTTTGGTATTGATTGAAAGCTAGGAACATTTCAAATGCATTGGTTTATATGAAGAAACCATACTATGAAAAGTGTCCATGTTATGAGACTTTATTTAACCACTATGCTATCAAAGCAGCACCCACACCAGGTGTCAACCCGGCCTTCTAGAGGGCAGAATTGGGGTGTGACTCCACCCCGCACCTTATCTGATTGGACAAGCATTGTGTAGACCCAGCCTCTACCAAAGCCTATAAAACTTTGAACAAAGGAATTTCATCGTCGTCTTTTGCCGGTCATCTTTGCCAGTCGTCACCGCCGTCGCTGCCCGGACGTCGCTCTTCTCGTGCTGTGGCCGTTACATCGCCTCGCCGGAAGCCTCGTTACATCACGGAGCAGACCGCGACCTTCACTTGCTGCCGGCTCGACCCCCGATCTGCTTGTGCAACCGCTTCAACAACAAGCCATCGGGTCAACACATCCAAACTCTGAAACTCATCATAACTACAGGAACCCAGGAAGGACTTCGAACGCCGCTTTGTCCAACATCTGTATCCCTAGCAACCGACTAAGGAAACCCCTCTTCACCGACAAGGGAATTCCATCACGTCACTGAAGTTGCTACGCTGACCAATCAGCTTCGCTGGGATTTCCCTTTGGACCAGTCGAGGAAACCAAAAATTACATCAGAACGCAAGTAGCACAAACGAGGTTTCTATCCATTGCTGACACTGGTGTGAATTATGTTTAAGTAGTAAAGAATAGCAAGATTCTCTGCTTTTATGGTTTCTCTCAGGTTGCAATGCTAAGAACTTAGCAAAGGCTAGAAGTTAAATCCACTCAGCCAAAACTCTCCTCAAACTGCTTGTGCGTGTGTGTATGTATGTGCATTTGTTTGTTTTACGTAGATTAGTACTTTGTGTTATAGAGTAGCAATTAACTTTTGTTTCGTTTTAAGATCCGTGTTGGTGTGTTGTGTGCTTTATAAGTTAATGCCTCAGCTTCAGATACTGCTACCTTGCTTATTAAATAATTAGATACTGTTTTTATATTGTTATTGTTGGCCACGTAATAATATAATACAGGATTGCTTTACACTAAACGTTCTATTTGCTGGACAAATACTTAAGTTAAGTGTAAGCTTTAAATAATTCTATGTGAAACATGTTCGAATCTTTGATTCGAATCCCCAAAGTTTAAACATGATTTAAACCAAAGAGCTGATTCTTACATAGTGGTGGAGAATGCGGGCAAGCATTTCTAACTTTTAAAGCACAAAACCCAGAAATCACGTTGTTAATCTTTTCTATTTTTGTCCGGAAATAATAGATTAGAGGGAACAAAAGTTTTGCTACTGCACAATTTCATTGTGGTACCATTTGTTTTATTGCTTGACTGCATTTAGTGTTGTTAAGAAAGTAAAACTTCATTCCGCCGAGACACACTGTAAGCCGCTCTAAAGCGCATGTAGAGATAGACAAAGCGTATTCCTTTGTGCTTATCTCATAACGTTATATAAGGCCTTCACAGTATGATTTCGTACGCCGCGATTCCCGGATGGAAACTCAACTGTGTTTTCTCCTGGTAACCGATTTAGCATAGCTAACTAAATTCTTGTTGCCCTGTAATTTGCTAATACTTAGTAAATTATTTAAAACGCGGAGCTCAGTGAGAGCTGCCTAGCGTAGTTTATAGGAGAAGTTTTGAAATTGATCAATTAAAATTGTGGTTTGAATCCACGGTTGTGTTTGCAGTCTAAACAGACTTAACACAGAGTGCTGAGATCCCCCATATCTTTGCCACGATTTGTATTAATCTCAGAAATCCTGTTGATTAATTTATCTCACTTTCATGATTTGAGATGGTTCAGTACTGTTAAGATATAAAATCTAACTAGTGCTTTTTGCTTGAACAGTGTAAGATGCGCCGTCATCTCAAATGATACTGTGAAATTTGCTATTATTCCACTTTGTGGTCGTTGCCATAGCAGCAACCTTGGTCTGGAAGTACAGAGAGACTTGCCGGAATTACATTCAAGTGCGCATGTGCAGTACGCCAGCGCCAGCTTGAATTGTAAACAAAGAGCATAGCGTGAAGCTAAGCTAAACTAACGCTAACACGTTTGCATTGAAGTCTATGCATTTCCAGTAGCAGCGAAGGCTAATAGATAGCACGTATCATTTAGTGCTCTTAAATGCGTTGTATGGCTGATGTTTGAAATAACTCTTGCATCTCAGTTATTTCTCTTTACTCACCTTGGAAAAGTTAACAAACGCAAAGTTAATCAAAGTGTGCACGATCTAACTGCTGAGTTTAATCACTACTGTTTTATTTTATTTTTGTTTTTCCTGCTGTACCTGGCCTGTTGAATTTAATCAGTTTGAACTCACATAAGCTGTTGGTTTTATTAGTGATGAATTATAGTTTTGTTTTCATGACTATAAATTAATGCTCTCTGACCTGTACAAGTATAAATACTTTTTCCATTCATCAACATCTAGGAACACCCATTTCCTATAATTGTTGATTTATACGGATAAGACTCACTGATTAAATAAATTATAATTGTTTAATTTAATGATAAACTGCATTAAATGTTACTCTAACCAACTTCATTGTTTTGAAATTTTAATTTCATTAATGGTTCATTTATGCATGGCTTTATCATTTTAGCAATAATTAATAATTTAATTTAGTCATAAGTGTTCTTATCAATCTTAATGATAAATTATAAAAGTTATTACTTCTTTACAGGTTTAAAGTTAAGTTCAATTCAAATTTGAATTTAGTCTTTTCATCTAGTGGAGCCCTCCAATTAGCCAAACTTCAAAAGGAAAATTCAGATTTTTCTACTACGTAGGCTAAGCAGTTACTATATAACACAATAAAACCAACACTTCTTGTAGTGTCAACTCGACAGCGCCACCGCTTTGACATCCTTAAATACACCTAATGCTAAGAGAAAACTAACTCCTTTGTTCTCTCTTTCTGCTAGTTATCTTCTTTTAACTAGACTAATGATGCTGGTTTAAGGATTGTGCTTGTGAGAGTCAAAAAGCAGAGAATTTTAGAAACATTTAATAGATGTTTGGGACACTTGAACACTTTTAATTGTTAAAATTTTCTGATCTCACCCCTCCTTTCTCACTCATCAGGTCACCAAGAAGATAGGCGTCGTTAGATCCAGTTCTAAACACGCATCCAGAAACAATTTATTTGGTGTACGGAGTCAATCCTATTCAGAAGCCAATACTGTTATTGTTGTCCTACTTTCTGTCACTTCAGAAGAAAGTTAATAGCAACTTCAGTCCTGGTATTTAGAAATCTTATTTTTATATTTAACAAAAGCTAAAGGAACCCTCTCTCTAGGAAAGTGGAAACTACAGATTTTCACCCTACTCCTTAGTCTCCTTATCACTTTTGTTTTTCTTTGTTCTCTCACTGTGTCTGTGCTACTGACTCTTTCCACAGAGACTACCAGTTAGACACGCATACCCACCAGAGGGCCACAGTTCCAGAGAACCACACTTAACTCAACATTAGTACACACATAACATTGCACATTAACAATTCCCCTTTTCTGTTTGCATTGTTCTACCTTGTTTTTTTTTCTTTCTCCTCTCTATCTCTCTTCAAGGTCTGTGTCAGTTAAAATCCTAAGTCCTCCCCCCGCCGCAAAACATGGCTCACTCCAAAGATCCTGTTGGCCACTGGAAGGACCTGGAAACGTGGTTGAGCGTTGTAACAGGCAGTCTCCTCCCTAAAGCTGCTGAAACACTGCAGCCCCTGATGCAAAACCAATTGGATGAGAACATAGACAGCATCATGAAGCAAGACCCAAGTCAAAGCTTCAACCACAAGGAGCTGGCCAAAATCACTGGTACTTTGAGTCACACACTCATAGCCACCCTCAAGTTGAGTGACAGACACGCCTCCCAACTCCAACACAAGCTGACACGCCTGCAAGCCCGCATCGAGCAGCTAGAGCTAGAGGCTCAGGAACGCCTGGAACAACCAAATGAGGTGGATGAAGGTACAAAGAGGAGATTGACAAACTACAAGAAGCTCTAACAGCCATCACAGAAGAAAGAGAACAAGCCAGAGCAGACCACGCTGACGTCGCTATAATAATATAATAATAATGACTGTCCCTTAGCTGTTTGAAAGTCTCTTCAGCTTAAAAGGATGGCGTCTGCTGGCTTCAGGTGTGCTTATATGCTGAGATAATTGCAGATGCCGCACACCTGCGCAAGCTTACGCTGCCAATTAATTTCATTCATTGGCCCGTTCAATACTCTCCAGACAAGCGGCTTCTGATCCGAATCCTCCCATTCATGGCACTTCCGTTCCCCTCCTCGGGGAACGAAGGGTTACTTCTGTAACCTCGAACGCTGAACAGCTACTGAAGGAAGCAAAGGTGGACTTAAGAGACAAGAAGGCCAGAATCAAAGCCCTTGAAACTCACCTGAGCGAAGCAAGACATGAGATCAACAGACTAATGCAGGAAGTGGATGACATCAAAGAGGAGTCCGCCAGTGAACGTTCGAGGTTACAGAAGTAACCCTTCGTTCCCCGAGGAGGGGAACGGAAGTGCCATGAATGGGAGGATTCGGATCAGAAGCCGCTTGTCTGGAGAGTATTGAACGGGCCAATGAATGAAATTAATTGGCAGCGTAAGCTTGCGCAGGTGTGCGGCATCTGCAATTATCTCAGCATATAAGCACACCTGAAGCCAGCAGACGCCATCCTTTTAAGCTGAAGAGACTTTCAAACAGCTAAGGGACAGTCATTATGGCGACGGAGTATGGCACTTCCGTTCCCCTCCTCGGGGAACGAAGGGTTACTTCTGTAACCTCGAACGTTCCCCTTCGGTTGGGGAACTTCAGTGCCATGAATGGGAGAAGTATGGAAAGCGCCATAATGACTGCACCTTACCAACACCCCCGATGAGGAGATAGTCAAGCAAGCGTGACGCACCCACATCATGGGGGGCGCGGTCCTCCAACGTGTCCCTGGCCCTAATTTATCCTACTTCAACAGAAGTTTTACGGATTTAGATATATTTTTTTGGGAAGTCGTGAGCATCTAGATAATTCTAGGAAATACGACAGTACGTTGGGAAGCGTGCAATCCCGATAGGGAGGACGCTGCGGAGGCCATCCGTTACCCAAGGGGGGGATAGATGGCAGAATTTACATATGGACTAGCCCTAAAAAGGGGGAGTACGCATAGCAAAAGAGTGGTTAGCGGAGAGGGAAGACACAGGTCCGCCCAGGGGGGGGACTTAACCGTGGCGGATAAGCATATGGGATCGCCTAGTGGGGATCACGCATAGCAGGCACCTATACCCAAAACGCGGGCTGACCAGCGGGCAGACCTACAACGTAGTGGGCCAGCAAGTGACTCCTCCGCTGAGTCAGTGCTGGGGGCCATGGAGGAATCTGCAGGGCTCACCTGACGGGGAACTTTACTGACAGATAAAAAGGCGCACGTACCTCCGTGTTAGGGAGAATGGCGCAGCAAGCGTGTTTCAACACCCTACCGAGTTGTCTCCTCAATCACCAAAGGGTTACCTAATACCCTTGAGGAAACCGGCTCCACTTGCAGATTGTAAAACCTTGCAAATGTGTTGGGTGTCGCCCAGCCCGCAGCTCTACAGATGTCTGTTAGAGAGGCGCCGCGTGCACGCGCCCAAGAGGATGCAACGCTCCGAGTGGAGTGTGCACGTACTCCCGGGGGACACGGCTGACCTCGACTCGAATAAGCGAGTGAAATGGCATCCACAATCCAGTGGGATAATCTTTGTTTCGATACGGCACTTCCCTGCTGCCGATCGCCATAACAGACAAAGAGCTGCTCAGATGATCTAAAATTCTGAGTACGGTCCACATAAATGTGCAGAGCGCGAACTGGACAAAGTAAAGAAAGGGCTGGGTCTGCCTCCTCCGGGGGCAGCGCTTGCAGGTTCACTACCTGATCTCTAAAGGGGGTGGTAGGAACCTTGGGCACATAACCGGGGCGGGGTCTCAGGATGACGTGAGAGTAATCCAGCCCGAATTTCAGGCACGAGTCACTGACCGAAAATGCCTCCAGGTCCCCGACCCTCTTGATGGAGGCCAACGCAACCAGCAGAGCTGTCTTCAGGGACAGAAATCTTAGAGATACTGATTCGAGTTGCTCAAAGGGATCGGATCGCAGACTCGTGAGAACGAGGGCGAGATCCCAAGAGGGCATGAGAGGGGGCGAGATGGATTAATTCGCCTAGCACCCCTAAGGAACTGGATGACCAGGTTATGCTTTCCCACGGTGCCACCAGCTACCACGCTATGATAAGCGGAGATGGCGGCCACGTAAACCTTGAGAGTGGAGGGCGACAGCCTGCTGTCCAACTTCTCTTGAAGGAAAGAGAGCACAACACTAATCTGGCAATTTCGGGGGTCTTCTCTGCGAGAGACGCACCATTCAGTGAATAGACTCCACTTCAGGGCGTAGGCGCGCCTCGTGGAGGGGGCTCTAGCCTGAGTGATGGTATTAACCACCGCAGTCGGTAGGTTACCTAAGTCTTCCTCGCGTCTAGGGACCACACGTGGAGGTTCCAAAGATCGGGGCGAGGGTGCCAGATGGTGCCCTGTCCCTGAGAGAGTAGGTCCTCTCTCAAAGGGATCCGCCAGGGGAGGGCCGTCGCGAGGAGTGAGAGCTCTGATATCCAGGTCCGGTTGGGCCAAAGGGGCGCAACTAGCAGAACCTGTTCCTCGTCCTCCCTGACCTTGCACAGAAACTGCGCGAGCAGGCTCACTGGGGGAAACGCATACTTGCGCATGCCCCGAGGCCAGCTGTGGGCCAGTGCATCCGTGCCGAGAGAGCCCTCGGTCAGGGAAAAAAACAACTGGCAGTGAGCGTTCTCGGGGGAAGCAAACAGATCGATCTGGGCCTCCCCGAATCGCGCCCATATCAGCTGAACAGACTCGGGGTGGAGTCTCCATTCTCCAGGGCGTAACAGCTGTCGTGAGAGCGCATCGGCTGCACGATTGAGCGTGCCTGGGACGTGAATGGCGCGCAGCGATTTCAGCTGCGGGTGACTCCAGAGGAGCAGACGGCGGGCGAGCTGAGACATGCGGCGAGAGCGCATACCCCCCATGCGGTTGATATACGCCGCCGCCGCCATACTGTCCGTCCTGACCAGCACGTGTTGCCGCTCCAGCACCGGTAAAAAGCGGTGGAGAGCGAGGAACACTGCCAACAGCTCTAGGCGATTGATATGCCAATGCAGCTGGGCACCCTTCCAGAGGCCCGCAGCCGCATGCCCGTGACACACGGCCCCCCAACCCGTGTTGGAAGCGTCTGTTGAAACAACAACATGGCTGGACGCCTGTCCTAGAGGCACACCGGCCTGTAGGAACGAGGGGTCGTTCCAAGGGCTGAGGGCGCGGCGACACAGCGCAGTAACCGAGACCCGGTGTGTGCCCGCGTGCCATGCGCGTCTGGGGACCCGATCGTGAAGCCAGTGCTGAAGTGGTCTCATATGGAGCAACCCGAGCGGCGTGACGGCGGCTGCGGATGCCATATGCCCCAGGAGCCTCTGAAAGAACTTCAGTGGGACCACTAGTTTGCTGTCGAGCTCCCTCAGACAGTTCAGCAACAGGCGAGCACGTTCCTCGGAGAGGTGCGCTACCATGGTGATCGAGTCCAGCTCCATCCCGAGAAAAGAAATCCTCTGCACGGGGGCGAGTTTGCTCTTTTCTCGGTTGACCTGAAGCCCCAGTAGGCGGAGATGCCGAAGCACCTTGTCCCTGTGCATAATCAATTGCTCCCGCGAGTGGGCTAAAATCAGCCAGTCGTCGAGATAATTGAGTATGCGAATGCCCGCGAGCCGAAGGGGCGCTAGGGCACCCTCCGCGAGTTTTGTGAAGACCCGCGGAGACAGAGAGAGCCCGAAGGGGAGGACCTTGTACTGCCACGCTCGACCCTCGAACGCAAACCGCAGAAATTGGCGGTGGCGTGGAAGAATGGAGACATGGAAATACGCGTCCTTCAGGTCTATGGCTGCAAACCAATCCTGGGGACGAACGCATTGGAGAATGCGCCTCTGCGTGAGCATTCTGAACGGCAGCCTGTGCAGACAGCGGTTCAAAACGCGCAGATCTAGGATTGGCCGTGACCCACCGCTCTCTTTGGGTACGATGAAGTATGGGCTGTAAAACCCACTCTCCATCTCGGCTGGAGGAACCGGCTCGATTGCACCCTTCGCCAGGAGGGCAGCAATCTCCTCTCGCAAGACAGGGGCGGACAGGGGGTTGACCCTGGAGAAATACACGCCCGTAAACTTGGGGGGCCGTTTCGCGAACTGAATCGCGTAACCGAGTCTGATTGTGCGTATGAGCCACCGCGAGGGGCTGGCCCGCGCTAACCAGGCAGGCAGAGCCCTCGCTAATGGAGTCGTCGCTACAATCGCTGACGTACCAGCGGTGGGGCAGCGCGGAGTGGGTGTGCTGATCCGGGAAGCACGAGGGTCCCGCGGAAGAGCTGGAGGAGAGCGATTCGCTCTGGCTCCGCACCCTGACTCCGGAGAGGGGGCTGGAGGGCTGAGGGAAGGGAGACCGTCCCCCCAGCGCTCGTGAGCCACTGGCGAAGCACGTAGAGTCTGCGAGCCGGAAGGCAGCGCGTCCCGGACTGGCAGAACTCGTGCAGTCACATCCGGGGAAGGGAAAAAGTGCTCTTTTACTGATGTTTTGGTGGCACTGAAAAGTACCGTTGTTATCGGGGCCCCGCCCTCCAGCGGGGAAAGAGCAAGTTTCCTCTTCTCCGGATGGCCTGTCTCAGGGACGCTTCGCGGTCCGTTTACCGGACTTAACGGCGCCCTGGGCAGAAGGGGCTGCCTGCTTTCGAGGTGTACGCCGCGAGCGAGGAACAGCGTTCCCTCGGCGAGGAACAGCGGAGGTGGATGGCTCGGCGGGCGGAGCGGGCTTACGGCCACGCCGATAGATGACATTGCCCATCGCATCCAACTGCTCTTTCACCGCCTTGAATTCCTGGGTGAATTCACCGACGGTGTCGCCGAACAGGCCAGCCTGGGATATGGGCGAGTCAAGAAAGCGAACTTTGTCAACATCGCGCATATCGGCCAGGTTTAGCCAGAGGTGGCGTTCCTGAACCACAAGTGTGGACATCGTCCTCCCCAGCGCACACGCGGCGGACTTAGTAGTCCGAAGAGCATAGTCGGTCGCGGTGCGCAGCTCATGTAATAAGCTTGGGTTGGACCCGCCCTCGTGCAGCTCGGCCAGCGCCTGCGCTTGGTAGCGCTGGTAGGTGGCCATCGCGTGCAAAGCAGAAGCAGCCTGGCCCGCAGCCTTATAAGCTCTGGCTCCGAGGGAGGCAGACAACCTACAGGCTTTGGACGGGAGGCGGGGCAAACCCCGCCACGTAGAGGCGCCGCGCGGACAAAGATTGACCGCGATAGCGCGCTCCACTGACGGGATCGCCTCATACCCCCTGGCAGCTCCGCCGTCAAGGGCGGTGAGGGCAGAGGCACACGCAGCACGGGCAGAGAAAGGTGCCCTCCAAGACTGCGTGAGCCTACTGTTTACTTCCGGGAAGAAGGGGACGAGAGGCTTCGAAGGCTTCGCCTTCTGGTCCTCTACGTAGCACCCATCTAGTCGGTCCGGCCGCGGAGCTGGGGGATAAACCATCTCCAACCCCGCGGCCGAAGCAGCCCGGGAAAGCACGGCTAACATGTCCGCTTCAGGATGCGAATTGACAGCGCTCACCTGCCCGGAGGGGGCGAGCGGGTCCGGATCTTCATCGGACAGTGAAAGCCCTCCCTCAGATGCCGCGGAGGACATCTGATCTCCGGTGTCAGCGAGTGTGAGAGCTACCATCTGGTTAGACGGATCACTCCCACTACCCGAAGCTTGGATGGAGCGCCGTGAGGAGCGAGAGGTCCGCGAGCCCGTGGGCGGCGGATTATCTCCCGCTGAAACCCTCAGATCTGCCCGAGCGCCCGCTGCTTTTTTAGAACAGGAGGCAACTGGGGTGGCTCGCTCTCTTGCGAAAGTTAGCCGCGATCTTAGCTGTGCAACGGTCATGGCATCGCAATGACGACATGAACCGCCCGCGAGCACCGCATTAACATGCTGGACCCCCAAACATGCAATGCAGTGATCGTGTCCATCATCCGGAGCCAGGAAACCCCCGCATCCAGAAACGCACAGTCGGAGCGCCATCCTGAAAAGGACGTGCTGCACGACTGTGTTGCTCTTTTAGGAAAGTTTGCAACAATACGCACCGCTCTGGAGGACCGGACCCAAAGAACCGCAGGCAAGGGAGAAACCCAGCTCGACCGTCTGCCACCGCGAAGACCCACTCTGGACCGGGAGACACACTCGTTCGCTCTGAAGTGCTGATCAGCAAGAGGAACCCTCATCGACTCACTCAGAAAGGATCTGAAGCGAAAAGGATGGCGTCTGCTGGCTTCAGGTGTGCTTATATGCTGAGATAATTGCAGATGCCGCACACCTGCGCAAGCTTACGCTGCCAATTAATTTCATTCATTGGCCCATTCAATACTCTCCAGACAAGCGGCTTCTGATCCGAATCCTCCCATTCATGGCACTGAAGTTCCCCAACCGAAGGGGAACTCAGGCATGCCTATGCACTGCGCTATGAACCTCCAAAGACAAGATGTGCACCAGCCTCGCCCCTGCCAAGCAGGACAGGATCCCCTGTCCCTGAGCTCTCACCTATTGAAAGAGGTGAGAAACCATGCCGAAGATCTTCGCCAACACCTTCTGAAGAGCCTTACCTTACCCTACAGCGACGAGAGCCTGTGATAGTCAGTCACAGATCGTCATACAGTCTGGACCTCAAAGACCTTGACAAGCTGGCCAGAAACATTGGCAAGTTTACTCCAAGTGTGTCAGGTGGTTTGGAGGTCCACGCTTATTTGCAAGACATTGATTTCCACCTGGAAATGAGACCCAATGTCTCTGACAAAGAAAGACTATATTTGCTTCGAGCCACATCCAGCCCTGAGGTGCGCAGCTTCCTGGACTGACAACCGGCTCGGGTAAAGAACGATTACCGCTTGCTCCAAGAAGCCCTCATCAGAGAGTTTGCAAACCCTGAATCAGATCAAGGACTGTTAAGTGCTCTGGAGACAAAACAAGGTCGCAATGAGTCCCCACATGCTTACTACAACCGACTCAGGCAAGCCTTTTTCGGAACTCGCAACGAACCGAATATGGAAGAAGACCTGAACTTTAAGATTCTCTTCCTGAGAAACCTCCATCCTGCAGTAAGCCAACATCTCGGAGAACTCGCATGCCCACGAACAATGAGCATCCAACAATTGCGAGATTTGACACAGAAAGCCCACGACAAACAAAAGATGGTGTTAGAGAAGAACACTAAAACTGCAAAAGTTCTTGACTTTAACACCCAGAATCCAGAACTGGCACTAGAGGGTGCCCAACGCTCAAACAGCGTGAGACCACCATCCCCAGCATGGAATGCGTCTTCGTCCAATAGACAACGGAACTCCTACGATGACACAAGACCTAAACAAAGGAACAGTCACTGGCATGGACCGCATGGACAACGACGCTCACCTGAACACCACCGGGAAAGAAACCAATGGGGGTCAAACAAAAGCTGGTCACCATCTAAGGGAAGACATCAAAACCCTGGATCATCAAGTCCAAGGAGTCAACGAAGGTACTCCAAAAACTTCCACCCTGACAACGCTCAGACTCAATCCCAGCAAGAGGAAAATGCCCCACTGGGATTTGACCCTCAAGAACTGGTGAAATTGATGATGAAAGAGTTTCTCAAATGCATAGAGGAGGACAGGAAACGGGAAAAGGAAAAAGCAGATTCAGCCTGACTAGTCGCCGAGCGGAGAAGCAACAATCACCTGAACCAACAAACACTTGCAGATGAAAGCACTCAGGTTTCCAAAAGTGCTGTTCTGGTCGTCTGCCACTCCTCCGACAAACCTCAGTTCAGTCCTGAAACCCTTCCTGACCCATGCCAAACTCCGGTACCTCCATTACTGGATGAACATTTGACAGCTCCATCATCATTGAACAACTAATGGGGGAGGACCACAACTTGACACAGATCAACTGTTCTACCCTCTACACACTAACATAACCTTTGACATTCTAGGGAACACCTAGTTAAACACAACACTAATACTCTCTCCTCTACAGCACTGCTAGAACAACCTCTAGTAAGAAAGGAGCCACTCCACGTATGCAACACTGTTATTGCTAGTTTTTAACCTACCTCGTTTTGTTGCATCACTATGCCTCTTGAATTCCTTCTTTCTCTCTCCCTCCCTAATTGATTTGCAGTTCCAGTCCCCTCTACAGGGAACTCCTGCAAATTCATGCACAGGGCCTAAAAATAGGATTGACTCCTCCCAAATTAGTGTCAATTGCTGCAGAATTATTGCTCATTTAAGTTGAAGCTAGCGCCACTACATACTCGCAATGAAGTAAACTAGCTAAATAACTAAATGTGAATTATTTCAGGCAATGTTACACTACACCTTGTGTTCTTAACCCGAACAATTTAAGCTAAAACCTGCACCAGAACTCAGTCTATGGAATGGAAATGTGGTTTGTGTCTTGTGTGTCTGTTCTCTCTCTACCTATGCCTCTTGTTCCAGTGTCTGCCGATGTTCATGCCAGGAACATCACCATCCAAATGGGGGATGTGGGGAGTCAACGGATCGTTCCAGAATCGAACAAGTCACAGACCATGTTATCCTTAAAAGATTGGTTGGTGCCTACATGTCTGAGCTTTGATTTCATTTTCAAAGCAATCCACAGGCACCCAGCAAAAGGCAATCCACAGGATGACTAGCCAGTCAACATCACAGTTGCGTGTTAATTAACTTTACACCTTAAAACAATAAGAGGCTCTACAATCAAAAACCCACCAAACCGGTTTTTGAGAAGTACCTTTTGGTTCGCGTGCCCTTTGGCGTCTGCAAGGAATACACATTCTCAGGCAGACACAGAAGCGATCAGAAACGCTTGCAAAGTTTAATGGACATACAGTAAAACTGTGTTTATTTGAGTAATGTATGTTTGCTTTATGTTTCTGTAGGTTTTTGTGTGTACATGTTCCATGTGTTTAACAAAACTGTTATAGATAGTTCTTGAGTAGTAGCCCTCAGTGACAAATGAAATCTACAGAATGTTTGTGAAATACTTCATGTTTGGTATTGATTGAAAGCTAGGAACATTTTAAATGCATTGGTTTATATGAAGAAACCATACTATGAAAAGTGTCCATGTTATGAGACTTTATTTTAACCACTATGCTATCAAAGCAGCACCCACACCAGGTGTCAACCCGGCCTTCTAGAGGGCAGAATTGGGGTGTGACTCCACCCCGCACCTTATCTGATTGGACAAGCATTGTGTAGACCCAGCCTCTACCAAAGCCTATAAAACTTTGAACAAAGGAATTGCATCGTCGTCTTTTGCCGGTCATCTTTGCCAGTCGTCACCGCCGTCGCTGCCCGGACGTCGCTCTTCTCGTGCTGTGGCCGTTACATCGCCTCGCCGGAAGCCTCATTACATCACGGAGCAGACCGCGACCTTCACTTGCTGCCGGCTCGACCCCCGATCTGCTTGTGCAACCGCTTCAACAACAAGCCATCGGGTCAACACATCCAAACTCTGAAACTCATCATAACTACAGGAACCCAGGAAGGACTTCGAACGCCGCTTTGTCCAACATCTGTATCCCTAGCAACCGACTAAGGAAACCCCTCTTCACCGACAAGGGAATTCCATCACGTCACTGAAGTTGCTACGCTGACCAATCAGCTTCGCCGGGATTTCCCTTTGGACCAGTCGAGGAAACCAAAAATTACATCAGAACGCAAGTAGCACAAACGAGGTTTCTATCCATTGCTGACACTGGTGTGAATTATGTTTAAGTAGTAAAGAATAGAAAGATTCTCTGCTTTTATGGTTTCTCTCAGGTTGCAATGCTAAGAACTTAGCAAAGGCTAGAAGTTAAATCCACTCAGCCAAAACTCTCCTCAAACTGCTTGTGCGTGTGTGTATGTATGTGCATTTGTTTGTTTTACGTAGATTAGTACTTTGTGTTATAGAGTAGCAATAAACTTTTGTTTCGTTTTAAGATCCGTGTTGGTGTGTTGTGTGCTTTATAAGTTAATGCCTCAGCTTCAGATACTGCTACCTTGCTTATTAAATAACTAGATACTGTTTTTTTTATATTGTTATAGTTGGCCACGTAATAATATAATACAGGATTGCTTTACACTAAACATTCTATTTGCTGGACAAATACTTAAGTTAAGTGTAAGCTTTAAATAATTCTATGTGAATCATGTTCGAATCTTTGATTCGAATCCCCAAAGTTTAAACATGATTTAAACCAAAGAGCTGATTCTTACATACGACTCCCCCTGGATACGTGTGTATTATTGAGACTTTCCTGCCAGAGTCAGGGCTACTCGTACCATTCAGCCAATCAGATGAGTGCTGTAGCCAACTCTGCGCTTCATTTGCGCAGACTGTTCCTCTCCAGCATGGTGAACGGAGAAAACAGCAGTCGCAGTTGCACTTTTTTTCATTTATTTAATTGTTTGTCCATAGCCTCACTCTTTTTATCCATTATGTTGCCACAGCTCCGCTCTTCTTATTTATTTTCTCGCAGCCTCATGAGCAGAATGGTAGCCTGCAGAATGATGAATTATCATTCTGGCGATATGAACATAGCAGTACCACTGTGGTCTAGTGGTCTAATCTGATTCCATACATCAGCTACTATTGTATATTTAGTCAATTCACTGCCATTAACAAATTCTTTTGTGTGGGCTCATTAGTTAGTAAAGTGTCCAGAATGCACTCTCCAGAATCTTGTGGTAGGAGATCATATTTTTTCTAGTCTCTGTGAATTTTTGTACCCCTACCCCTTGCCCTTTCCCTTTCCCTTAAAATTTACCCCTAAGAAATAGAACACCACTACAACACATGCACACGTTATCACCTTATCGCGATCTCTAGCTTCATATGAGATAGACGATCTGCTGTAGTTATTCCAGTTGTGTTATTTTGTTTTTGGTATTTAACTTTAGGAAATCACTGACGGCATATCATGTTATCATAACGATATAATGTGACAATGTGGTCGTATTTGTACTGTGTGTTTTGCATCCTGGCCATGTTACTCTGTGTAAACAAATGAAAACAACATCAACATTATACCCGACGCTGTATAAAGCTCATTCCCAGCCACAAGACTTTTCTGATAGGGTATTTGACTGTCGTTGAGTGGCAGATATGAAAGTATGTTGTGGGACTACTATACAAGAGCTATTTTAAGGAATTATATACAGGGAAATGTAGCTGTTTTCAATTTAACATTTTTTTTTAGCATGATGGTAAAACATTATGAATGAATTTGAATGGGTATCTAGCCCTTCCCCTTAGCCCTACGCCTTTAAACTAAAGAGAATTGGGACACCCCTACCCCTTCATTTGAACGTGCAAAACGAGGGGTAAGTGGAAGGGCCAAGGGGTAGAATTGGGATTGGGCCTAAGTCTTATGGATACTATAGTCTCATAGTATGGAAAAAGCACACTAAGCCAGTTGTTCTTGAAGTGGGGGTCGAGACCCCCTGAGGGGTTGCGGGACAATGAAGGAGGGTCGCCTGGTGATTTTCAAAAATCTATTTAATTTTATTAAACCATAAGAAGTATCGTATTTTATCCATAACTATACTGAAAAGAAATTTATAGTTACTATGCACTATAAAGCTACTATAGTAGCTTATAGTTACTAGTTCTATTAGATTGCGACACCTAGGGTCATTACATTACATTACATTATATTAAAGACAGCAATAGTGTCAGATAAAGCAGACTGGTTTTATAACACCAGGTTAAACTTTCTGGCACATTTACAGCACTCACATACATTCAAAAATTAAACAAATATTAGACTTGGGTCTATTTAACCACTTCAGAGGATATTGGGGGTCGCGAGTCACTGGGATTGTTATTTTGGGGGTCGCGGGCTGAAAAGTTTGGGAACCCCTGCACTAAGCAATCACTTCTCTACTAGATACTATCTTAAAACACATAATGGCCATCAATATAAGGTTTTCAGATGATGTCTTATCTAATTCATCTAACATCAATGCGCATGTTTTTAAATTACAATATAAAACCAGGTAAAAAATAGAAAACATTTAGTTGCCAGTCCTGCTTTATAATTGATTTCTGGTGAGAAGCCTTGTCTAAAATACATATTTCTTTTCCTCTTATTTCTGCAGGACTGTTTCATCGTGCCATAATCCAGAGCGGTTCAGCATTGTCCAGCTGGGCCGTCAACTACCAGCCGGTTAAGTACACAAGGCTGTTGGCAGAAAAAGTGGGTTGCAATGTGCTGGATACACTGGACATGGTAGACTGCCTGAGAAAGAAAAGTGCTCGCGAGCTGGTGGAACAAGACATCCAGCCTGCAAGATACCACGTAGCCTTTGGCCCAGTTATCGATGGCGATGTCATTCCCGATGACCCTGAGATCCTGATGGAGCAGGGTGAGTTCCTTAATTATGACATCATGCTGGGTGTCAACCAGGGTGAAGGTCTGCGCTTTGTGGAGAACGTTGTGGACTCTGAAGATGGCGTCTCGGGCAATGATTTTGACTTCTCAGTCTCAGACTTTGTGGACAGTCTGTATGGTTACCCAGAGGGAAAAGATACGCTACGTGAAACCATTAAGTTCATGTATACAGACTGGGCTGATAGAGACAATCCTGAGACGCGTCGCAAGACTCTGGTGGCACTTTTTACTGATCACCAGTGGGTGGAGCCCTCAGTGGTAACAGCTGATCTTCATGCCCGGTATGGATCACCCACATACTTCTATGCCTTCTACCACCACTGCCAGAGTCTGATGAAGCCCGCTTGGTCAGATGCTGCCCATGGAGATGAGGTGCCCTACGTCTTTGGTATTCCCATGATTGGTCCGACTGACCTCTTCCCCTGCAACTTCTCCAAAAATGATATCATGCTCAGTGCTGTTGTCATGACCTACTGGACTAACTTTGCCAAAACTGGGTAAGTGCTTAAATGACAGCATGAAAGTATAATACTGTACATGTGCCATTATATGATTGTGTTATAGTCATATAACTATAACGAGTAAAAGTGTAAGGATATTAGAAAACCAATAGTATTTGGATGCAGCCTTTATGATGCAAGCTGAGATTGCATCACTCAGCGATGCATTGTCAGACACAATGCACTCAGTGAAGTAAGTGACGTTACTGTGACAGGTAGGGTTAGGGGTGGGGTTAGGTGAGCGCATTAAAAAGCATTGGATGCAGCTCAGATTGCACTGGACCAGGTCTGCATTCAGACCCTTCTCTAGAAAACAGGACAACAGGTCGACAGTAAAAGAAGAGAGAGTTATCTTTTAGAATTCTTTACCTTTTTATTTTTTATTTTTTTGAAGCAGTAGTTTTTAGAACATTTTGCCTGAAACCCTCTGTTTTACACCTGTCTCTTTAAAACCTTCCTGTGTGCTCTGACTGGCCTGCTGGCCTAGCCTCCTGTTAACTAGTCAACCGCAAAAAGTATAACAACATGTCTTAACAATGCGACATGACAAGACTATAGTGGCAATCAATTTGGCTGTCCGCACCAGACATGACACAACATTTAAATACCAAAGACATTTCCCAAAGCACAAAATATCACTTTGCTCTGAACCACATGGACAGGTTTATAATCTAATTAAATATTATACCTCATTAACTTTATTAAAAATAAAAATTTCTAGTGATTTTATTAGATGTTTTTTACAGAAATAAAAATTGAGATAAAATACTTGCTGCAGCTTTCACTATGGCATTAAATGCCATGTAAAATCCTATTCAGACTCATACTGGTAACAGTTAACACTGAATAAAGCACATTACTCAGTACCTGGGGTCATCATAGCTAATGATGTTTTTCAACCTCGTCGTCTGAAAAATATAAGCCATCTCTTAGACACTATTGTGGATGGTTAGGACCAAAACTCCTTTTAATAATGAACAGACAGCTCACACGATGTGAGTCAAAAATGTACCACGGCTTTCCATAATCAGATTTACGTCACACGATTTTGTGAGCACTATTATGAAGTAACACTATTAACTCTGTGAGTGTGTGTGTGTGTGTGTGTGTGTGTGTGTGTGTGTGTGTGTGTGTGTGTGTGTGTGTGTGTGTGTGTGTGTGTGTGTGTGCACTTGCGTGTGCTTGCGTGCGTACGTGTGCGTGTCTGCCACCCTATCTCTTGCTCACCGCTGATGTGCAGGTAAAGTGAGTTTGTGCCTGTAAACACAGCACCCCCTCAGTTTAAATCATGTATTGAAGACACACATTGAACTTCCACCTAAAGGGGAAGAATAAATAATGTAGCTAGCATGAAATTGAAAGTAAACACATACAGCAGTAGATACCATTCAGCATATATGCCCGTTGTTTGCTTTGAGCACAATCTGTTTCAGAGTGTATTGTTTACAGTATCCTGTATGAACGGGCCTTGAGACCATGTGCAGAAAGAATTATCAGTGGAACTTATCACAATTTTGCCCCTCAGCAATATTGACCAACAACCATCTTTTTAGTTGATCACTGCCGACCCAGGTGAGCGCATACAACAACAATGCCTCCTCCCTTGCTCAATCCTGCCCAGAGCACAAAGCATTATAGATCCGTATGAGGAGTGCTTGTAATCAGCTCTAACGGCACAAATCTAATTTGACAACTGCTGTTACTAAGAAAAATTGATTGGTCATGTTGCTGCTTTTCCACTTTTACCAGTCACAATAAAAGTGACAACCCTTGGCATTTATATTCATTCTTTAATGGTTAAGTGTAGACTATGTGTAGCCAAAAATAGCATGGCTGATTACCACAGGCTTTTTGCAGTTTTTTTTACACTGAATGCTCAAGACAACATTCTGCATTCTGCTTTTCAGGAACAACATCTGTCCAGAAAATGTCAGATTAGCTCAAGGGCATAGAATATTTGTATGATAGACTCTGGTTTTCCCTCTAGGGAATTTTTTCAGTTGTAGACTGCCAGATTTTCTTATTTATTAAAAAGCTGAAATGTTTGGACAAATGCAGTTAGTTTTTTTTTTTCTGTGTTGGTATATTTTAACAGTCCATTATTACAGATAATGTTGTTTACATTAAACATTAAAACAACCTTAATGTTGTTTTAGTCGAAGGCAATTAAGGTTTATAATAATTTATTTATCCTATTATTTCAATCTAGAATAATAATACATTTCTGCCTGGACAATGATAGTAATTTGCACCAAAAAAAAAAAAAGATAATAAATATATACAATATATAGAGAAATATAAAAATATGTGAGTCAAAGCAAAAATAGATATCAGGTTATAATTATTTTTACAATCATTTGAGGCGATTGTGTTACTTTTTTTGCTTAAAATAAGTAGGCATAGCTACTACAAACAAACTAAATAATGTACATGATAACCAAACACATCATGAGCAGAAAACAAACTACTGTATTTCAGAGATTAAATTGTCCATTGTCATCGGCAAATACTTTTTAATTGTAGCTTTGTTTTGAATGATTATGATTAATTTAACTAAATGTACATGATCACAAACATTAATTTTTATTGATCAGAGTCAAATATGTTTGACAGATATTTATTGTATTGACTGCATTCTTGTTTTCTACAGTGTTATAGCAAATTCTTTTTTCTTTTCTTTTTGCGATCATGTTTGCTACTTGTTAAAATAGCCACATCATCATCAGCTGTTAAAATCCTTTAAGGGTTTGAAGAAAGTATGTTTGGATTTATATAGAAATATTAGAGAATATATAGCAGAAACAAAGTACATGTGTGCCTGTGGTGTGTATGGTTGAGTTGTTTTGGTGTGCTGGGCACTTTAACCTGTAGGAACGGTAAAATTCTGCTATTGTTGTCTCGTGGTCCAGTTGAAAGGCTTTTACGTATTTGAGGATGCCTGTTTTATTCTACTCACTTTTTAGAAAAACAAAAGTTTATTTAAACCATCTAATAATCGCAGTGATTTTATGCACTTTTGATATAAAACAAAAAGTATGAGCTTTTATATTGTCTGTAGTTTTTTTTTTTTTTTGGTATTTTTTTCTAAATGTCATTTTGAAGATTTTTAATGTTACTTGACAGATAACTGTAGTCACCCTACTTCAAGCGGCACATGAACTGATAATTTATTCCTTTTTTGTTATTGTACAAAAGAAACATGAACATCAGAAGGCATGTTGAAAGAAAAAAGCACACCTTGCTGATATGAACGGAAGTGTTTCAATCATGGAAATACATCAAGAGATAACACAGCTTGTGAACAATATATTACATTACATTTACCTCAGGCAAGCCTTTGCAGAAAGCTTGATATAATAGTTCAAGCAACCTAATGACTTCGTATGCATTGTTATTGCAATGTTTAAATGTTTTGAAATAATAAATAGAACGTTTTTTTTTCTGCAAGTACCTTATTAGGTGCAGGAATTTGTGACAGGATACATAATAGATCTTATTGAATCACTTTTTGATTTTTATTTGATTGATTTTTCTTTTTTTCTTTTCTTTTTTATTTTTAATAGTCAATGTTTGATGCTATTTCCTGAAAGTTCACTTGACATATTTCATTGTATGAATCAAAGAAACAATCTACATTTTAATAGTAAGGGAAAGAAATAAAGCACTTGCCACCTTCTATTGCTTTTCACAACCAGATAGTTTTTCATTTAAAGGCATGAAGACATTCTCATTAGTGAAAACCTTTTTTTTTTTTTTTAAATAAGTCTGCAAGATGAGTCATGGATATTTCTGGTCAGTTTTGCAATAAGAGAAAGACTGTAAATTGTAAATATGGATATCATTTAGGTATGGGCTGGTATAAGTTTCTGATGGTATTATAATCTTGAATAAAAATATCATAGTATTGTGTTCTTCTGTAATGTATATATATTTTTAATTTCTTAGTAAAAAAAAAAACATTTAACACAATATACAGTTGGTCAGAATTATTAGCCCCCTTTTTAATTTATTTTTCTTTTTTAAATATTTCCCAAATGATGTTTAACAGAGCAAGGAAATGTTCACAGCATGTCTGATAATATTTTTTTAATTTGGAGAAAGTCTTATTTGTTTTATTTCGGCTAGATTAAAAGCAGTTTTAAATTTTTAAAACCTATTTTAAGGTCAAAATTATTAGACTCTTTAAGTAATTTTGTTTTCAGATGGTCTACAGATCATTATACAATAACGTTTTTAAAAATTTTGATTCCAATTGTACCTTAGAAATGGTATAACAAAATTGTTTTGTGGTTTTAATACCTTCACTTTTCCAAAGTAAACCTTGAAACCGGTTATCATCCCATGCCTAATATCATATTTATAAATCTTTAATCCACTATTATATCAATATCCCTAAAGCTAACAGATTGTAATTTTGATTTAATGTCATCTTGAACATATTTCAGTATAAGGCATAAAAATACCTTATCTAGCCTTTAAAACACACTGTCCATAAAATAATCACTCACAATAAAACAGCCTCAACCTCTCTCAGTCCTACCTGCCATTTTAAAAGCATCCACTTAGAAATACTGTCATACTAAGATTATTTATTACATGACAAATACTATATCCTTTATCAGTCATTCATCTAATGGCTTTCAATTGAACTGGTGTTGTTGAATCTCATTCCGGCACTGCTGATGTTTTTAACATCACAGCCCACTGAGTTGCTCCATTTGTGCGGCTCTATTGTGAGCGGATTATATAGGATGCTGCTTAGCAGCCGGCTTGTACTGAGCAAAGGATTAGATGCCAGGATAATGAACCTCGCAATTGTGCGAAATATACAAATATTCCACTTCCATCTAAACTAGCAAATTGTCTAGTTTGGTCGTGATGTGTGCCGTGATACAGCCAGAAATATGCTCTACAACATGAGAGGTGTGCTTACAGCTTCTCCATGTGATGACCTAGATAGAGCTCCCTGGCATCTCTCTAAATTGGACACTTGTACC